GCCCGCGCGGAGCGCCCCTGCCGGGGAAGGGGGCTTGGGTGCCCCCTCTCCGTCCCTGCGTCCCGAGGCGCCCTCGGGGGGCGCCAGGAACTCCCGGGTCCCCTGCCCGCCGCTGGTTCGCCCAGCTCCTGCTTTCTCCGGCGTCTCCCCCAGCCCTCCTTCACGGGCCCCCCCATATTGTCCAACCCCGGCGGCGGCGCGGGGGGCCTCCCGGAGCAGCAGGATGTACCCCCAGGGAAGGCACCCGGTGAGTGGGGGTCCCGGACTGCGGGGGAGGGCCCCCCCCCCGGCGTGTGGAACCTCTGACCACCGCGTCCTCCCAACCCGCAGACCCCGCTCCAGTCCGGCCAGCCCTTCAAGTTCTCGATCTTGGAGATCTGCGACCGGATCAAAGAGGAATTCCAGTTTCTTCAGGCTCAGTACCACAGGTGTGGGGAGGGTGGGGGTGGCCCGCCCCGGGGACACAGGGGTTCACCCTGCGGACAGAAGAGGGGTCGCGAGGGGCTGAGTGGTGGGGGTCGGCGGGGGCGGGGCCTTCAGGTGTAGGGCTGGGTCGCGGGGCTCCTGAGGGGGAGCGAGAGGAGGCTGCCAGGTGGTAGCGCAGGTGAGGTGGGGGAAGGGGACAGGGCGTGCAGGGGCATTGGGCGCCTGGGAAGGGGTGGGGAGGGACAGGGACCTGGAGGTGGGGGAGGTTTGGAAGGGCTACTGTGGAACTGGGGAGGGGGCAGCGGGACCCATCGGTTTGCAAACTGGCTCAGATGGGGGGCTCATCTCCTGCTGGGGGGCAGGGGTGAGCAGGACCCCATGCTCTCTCCTTGCCAGCCTCAAGCTGGAATGTGAGAAGCTGGCCAGTGAGAAGACAGAAATGCAGCGACATTATGTCATGGTGAGGGGGGCTTGTCCTGATGAGGGGGAGTGGGGGGAGAGGTGGCCTGTGGGTGGTAAACCTGACTCCCTGTACCCCCTTGCAGGGGTTGGCCTTATTTTCCCTGTCTGTAAATTGGACTGGTTTGGATTCCAGGCTCTTGAGAGAAATGGGACAAGGCTCTTCACTCTTCTCCCCAGCACGTCCATCTCTGAGGGGCTGGGGTTTCTGGGCATCTCCTACCAACCTACCCTGGCTGGGCAGAGTGAGGGGGCCCCTCCAAGAGCCCTTGCTTCCTCCTCTGGGCGTCCACTCTGGGGCCCCATGTGGCTGGGAGGGTCTGTGGCCTGCTCCGACTCCCCCAGCCAGGGGGCTCTTGGAAGACCCCAGTGTCACGCAGCACGGGGCTGGATGTAGCTTCGCCCTCTGGATATTACCATCCTAGCTTTTCCTTTGCAGTACTATGAGATGTCCTACGGGCTCAACATCGAAATGCATAAGCAGGTAACTGAGTGTGTGTGGGGATGGGGGGTGTTTGGCAGGGATGGTGGGGGCCTGGAAACTGGGTGGACACCAAGTAGGAGGTGTCTTGTCCAAAACTCTCTGCAAAGGTCCCAGAGGGAAGATCGGGGACCAGGGAGGCAGATTTTGTACCTGATGGATGGAAGACGATTCTCAACTTCTGGGGACATTGTCCACCAGCTGGCGCCATCCAGCAGAGAGGTGGGCAGTGGGCAGGGCCAAGGAGGACTCTCAGGAGAACCTGGGTAGCCAAGTCAGGAAGGCTATGGAGGAGACTCCCAACCCTGGAAGGGACTGGATGGATGGTCTTGGGTCTCCCTTTCAGCCCTGAGAGTCTGAAGTTTTGAGATGGATCCTGAGGGTCTGAGTGGACCCGAAAGTTCTCTTGCTGTTTTGAAGGTTATGTGGAATTGGCCAGAAGGTTCTGAGATTATTTTCAAGGCCTCAGATTTGATTCCATGGTTCAGACTGACCCCAAGTTGTGAGATAGACCTCAAGGCTCTGAGATACACCTCAAGGGTGTGAGATAGACCTCAATGTTCTGAGGTAGACCTCAAGGTGCTAGGTAGACCTCAAGGTGCTGAGGTAGACCTCAAGGTGCTAAGATACACCTCAAGGTTCTGAGGTAGACCTCAAGGTTCTGAGATGCACCTCAAGGTTCTGAGATGCACCTCAGGGTGCTGAGGTAGACCTTAAGGTGCTGAGGTAGACCTCAAATTTCTACGACCATCCCCAAAGTTCTGAGATAGACCTCAAAGTTCTGAGATACATCTCAAGGTTCTAAGATAAACCTCAAGCTTCTGAGATACACTTCAAGATTCTGAGATTGACACTTATGTGTTGAGGTGGGTCACAAGGTTCTGAGACCATCCCCAAGCTTCTGAGTGTGATTTCAAGGTTCTGAGATAGACCCGAAGGCTCTGACATTAATGCCAACAGTCTGAGATTAGCCCCAAGATTCTGAGGCTGACCTAGAGGTTCTTTGATGGTTTCTAAGGTGATAAGCATGGACCCAAGGTTCTGAGATTGACTCTGTCCATCAGAATATTAGAATCAGTGGGTGGGGTCAAGCATATGGGACTTCCGGGTGGGTGAGAAGAAGAGATGGAGGGGCTGGGCGTGTGGGGTGCCTGGAGTGCTTTCCTGGGTGCATTTGGGGTCTGCTGGCTCTGATGTAGGAGGAAGGGGGCTGTTTGTCCGGAGCATGGTGTGGTCACATGGGTGCCTGGAATAGACCCCACTGTGGGGTGGAGGGCCTAGGGTGGGGCCAGGACTGCTGGTTGGCCTGGCCCTGGGAGCCTGGGTCCTCCCTCCTGGTGGGGGATAGGAAAGGTGGGGGAGGGGCTGACAGATTGGGTTCCTGCCTCTTGCCCAGATCTCGCTGGCAGAGCTCCCTGGAGCTTGGGCCAGACACCACAAAGGCCAGCAATGATGGTGTAGGTCTGTTCCATGGGCCCAGCCTCGGCCACCACCCTCCCGCACACACAGACACACACAGACACACACAGACACACACACACACACACACACATAACCCAGACATACACCGCAAACCAAACGAAAACCCACTGCTGTCGAGTGGATTCCGACTCACAGCGACCTGACAGGACAGAGGAGAACTGTCCCGTAGGGTTTCCAAGGCTGTCATCGTTACAGAAGCCGACTGCCGCACTTTCTCCCATGGAGCAGCTGGTGGGTTCAAACAACCGAACTTTTGATTAGCAGCGAGCGCTTAACCACTGTGCCACTAGGGCCCCTTATTACATCAGGGTAACAAAATAGACCTACACATCACAAATACGCCATCTGCCAGAAACAGCCCGCACACAACAGAGACTCACAGGAAACAGCCCCAGAGACACCCAGCTCAGACACAAACCCCACACAGACACACATAGCATGTAACTCAGGCAGACGCAAAACACGTGTGGACGTGCCCACGCACGTGGCTTTAGCCTTTGCGGTGCCCCTGGCCCAGACCCTGGTTCTTACCTGGAGTAGGGGGGCACTGGGATCTCTACCTCTGAACCCTCCCCTAGGTGGTAGGTTAGCCCCAGGTGGCACACAAGACCCAGAGAGGGACTGTGACTATTACTGCCATTGTAACCACCATAGACAATATGTAAATGAATGTATGTGGCTGTGTGTGCCAATAAAACTTTATTTACAAAAAAGGCGGAGGGCCGAATTGGAGCTCAGCCAGGGCTCGAACCTGGAACTCTGGGCTCGGTTCTTTTCTTTTTGTTTCTGATGAACTCAAGCCTTCCAAGCCCCTAGCTTCAGGCTGTCACTCGGCAAATGTCCCTCCTCGGGCCCGGATCTTCCAGGCCCAAGGCTGCCCTGAGGATCAGCTGGGCAAAGGCCCCGAGTTCTGTCTTCAGCCTCACCAGGGTCTGCGTCCATCCCTTGGTCCAAGCCTGGCTGGCCTGTTTCCCTGAGAATCCCTCACCCCAAAGCTTTGCAAATGCTTGCTCCAGTCGGGAGTTGAGGGGCTGGTCTGAAGGCCCCCTTCCAAGTCTCCACCCAATTGCTCCCCTCCAGGCCGAGATTGTGAAGCGCCTCAGTGGTATCTGTGCTCAGATCGTCCCCTTCCTGACCCAGGAGGTGAGTGGGCCTGGTGCGGGGCGGGGTGGCGAGCTGGGAGGAAATTAGAGGGGGCACAGTCTGGTTCAGGATCTGCTAGGAAGCTTGGGGGTGCGGCACCAGGGGCTGAAGGGATGGAGGGAGGGGTTGGTGGACCTTGTCAGCCCACATGAGGAGTGGGGGCTTTTTCATTGATCGGTAACAAGGTGTTTGTTAGCTGGGTCCAGGTCCTGCTGTGTGACCTCGAGCAGGCCGCTCACCCTCTCTGTGCTTCTGTCTCCTTTTTTAATCCTTTTAATTATTATGGTGAAATACACACGCCAGAACATTTACCAACGCCATACCTTCTACATTTACAATTCAGTGACATCGATTACATTTTTCCTGTGGTGCAACCATTCTCGCCATCATTTTCCAAATCATTCCACCACCATGGATGTAAATTCAGTGGCCCCCAAACCCCAACTCCCTCTGTCTCCCCTCTCTTACCCCTGGTAGCCACTAAAAATCTTTGGTTTCTGTACATCTGCTTATCTCATGTAAGGGAGATCAGACAGTGTCTGTTCTTCTGTGATGGACTTCTCTCACTCAGCGTGATGGTCTCAAGGTTCATCCACATCGTGGCGTGGACCAGGACTTCTTTTCTCTTTACCGCTGTGTAATATCCCACCGTGTGTGTAGACCACGTGTGTTGATCCATTCGTCTGCTGATGGGCATGTCGGTGGTTTCCACCTTCTGGCTCTCGTGAAAGGTGCCGCCGTGAGCATTGGTGTCCGGGTTTCTGTGTGCGCCTACCATCACTTCTTCTGGTCTATACCTAGGAGTGGAATTGCTGGGTCACAGGGTAGTTCTGTGTTCAACTTTTTGAGGACCTGAGAAAATGTTTTCCATGGCGGCTGCCCCGTTTTACATTCCCGCCTGCCATGGTGTACCTGTTTCTTCCCCAGCGTTGGCATGAAGTTTACCAGTTGTACCAGTTACCGTCATGTTGACTCCAACTCATGGCAACCCAAGTGCCAGAGTAGAACTGTGCTCCGTAGGGTTTTCAATGGCTGATTTTTCGGAAGTATCGCCAGGCCTTTCTTCTGAGGTGCCTCTGCGTGGACTCGAACCTCCAATCTTTTGCTTAGCAGCTGAGCACGCTCACGGTTTGCGTCACCCGGGGACTCCCCACCACAGCATGCATAAAGGCTTAAAACGGGATGTTAACTGAAAAAAAGCCAGACATAAAAGACGACGTATAGAAAAAGCCCATGTTGTTGTGAGGTGCCGTCCAGTCGGTTCAGACCCATAGCGACCCTGTGGGCAACAGAACGAAACACTGCGTGGTCCTGCGCCATCCTCACAATCGTTGTTATGCTTGAGCCCATTGTTGCAGCCACTGTGTCAATCCATCTCACCGAGGGTCTTCCTCTTTTTTGCCGACCCTCTACTTTACCAAGCGTGATGTCCTTCTCCAGGGACTGGTCCCTTCTGATAACATGTCCGAAGTATGTGAGACAAAGTCTCGCCATCCTCACTTCTAAGAAGCATCCTGGCTGTGCTTCTTCCAGGACAGATGTGTTCGTTTCCGAAAAAGCCCATAAAATAGTTCCAAACAGGGAAATCTAAGCAGGTTTGAGAAGGTAGTCATAGAGGTGCAATTACACAGAAAAACAAATGATTCCACAAAGGTGGGGAGGAGGGAAGGAGGGTGTTATCATGGGATGGGCTGCATGGGGGCTTCCAGGGGCTGGCAATGTCCATTTCTCCACCTGGACAGTTGGTACCCAGCTATTGATTAATAGCTGGCTGTAAGCCCAGGGCGATCTTGTTCCCAGGATGCATTTGTGGGTGTCATGACTGGGGGAGGGGGTGCTACTGGCATTGCGTGGGTGGAGGCCAGGGATGCTGCTCAACACGCTACAGTGCCCACGATGGCCCCACCCCAGAGAAGGATCTCCCAAATGTCAGCAGTGCTGAGGGGGAGGGATCCTGCGTTCATTGTTTGGAAAATATTGAGTTCGATCCCTGCTCACACTGTACAGCAGAATAAATTCCCCATGGTCAGACGGTGTAAACCAGGGGACCCTCCAGCTCCTGTGATTTCCCTCCTCTCTCCTCCCCACTCAGTGTGTGGATTTAAATGTGGGCAGCGTCCTAGGACATCAGTAGGTCAGATGATTATGGGATGCAGAGTCTTTTGGGGGTCAGTGGAATCCCCTAACCCAGAGGTCCTCTTAGCCGGGGTGATTCTGCCCCCAGAAGACAGTGGGCGATGTCTGGGGACATTTGTGGGTGTCACAACTAGGGAGGGGGTACTACTGGCATCGAGTGGGTGGAGGCCAGGGATGCTGCTCAGCACCCCACAGTGCACAGGGCAGCCCCACTCCAGAGAAGGATCTGGCCCCCATGTCAGCAGTGCTGGGGGAGAAACCCTGATTTATAATGATTCATTTGAACGGCACACATATGTTTTATTTCTTTTTCTGCGTATTTGTTTATTTTACAGAAGAAGTAGAGGGAGGGAGAGAAAGAAGAATAGCTGGGGGTGGGGTGGGCGGAGGATACAGGTGGGAGAGGAGACACCAGGCCCCAGAGGGCACTGCGGGGGCAGACAGGGGCTCCGAGCAGACGGAGGGCCTTCCGGGCGCCCTGACCACCCCCGTCTCCCCTCCCTCAGCACCAGCAGCAGGTATTACAGGCCGTGGAGCGAGCCAAGCAGGTGACCGTTGGGGAACTGAACAGTCTCATTGGGGTGAGTCCTCTCGGCCCCTGCCCCGGCTTCCGAAGCCTTCCACTCCTAAGAACCCTGGCACCCAGGAGGTGCTACAGCTGGGGGCGGGGGGTGGCTGCTGGGCAGGCAGCTGGCCTGGGCTCTGCACTCACTGCCCAAACCCTGCCCCATAGAGTTTTCAGTGGCCGAGCTTTTAGAAGTAGATGGCCAGGTCTTTCTTCCAAGGTGCCTCTTGGAGCTCAGGCACTCCTGGCAGCCCGCCACTGCCCTCCCTGGCCCATCCCTCCTCCTCTCTCTAGCAGCAGCAGCTCCAGCCGCTGTCCCACCATGCCCCCCCTGTGCCCCTCACCCCGCGCCCTGCCGGGCTGGTGGGCAGCAGTGCCACGGGGCTGCTCGCCCTGTCTGGAGCACTGGCCGCCCAGGCTCAGCTGGCAGTGGCTGCCAAGGAAGACCGGGCAGGCATGGAGGCTGAGGGATCCCGAGGTGAGTGGGCAGTATGGGGTGGCATTGGCCGGGGGCGTGCGGGGACGAGGACTGGAAGGTCCTGAACTCGTCTAAGCCTGAGGGATGGAATGAGGAGAGCTGTGGGGCCGCGGGGAGCAACTTTACTGCCAATTGGCTGTGTGTCCTTGGACAAGTCACTATCCCTCTCTGGCCATCCGTCTGAAGGAGGTGGAGGAGAAAGGGGGCTGGAAGGAAGGACAGGGAGATTCAGAGCAGGAAGAAGGCTTTCTAAACTGCCGAGGGCTGTGCCCTCTGCACCGCGAGATTGTGAACCCTCATTCTTTCTCCCCCCTCCCCTTTCTCCTTACTCCCGATCTGCCAGCAGAGAGAGCTCCAAGCAGGGTAAGTTGAGGGGCACCTGGGGACTAGTCCTCTCACGTGACATTTGCTTTGTGTTCGCCCGTGGCTGAAGCTGGTCCTTCGGAGCCACACTGCGATTTTCAAACTGCCTTGCCCGGAGCCATTTTGGGGTGGGCAGTGTGGGAGGCCCTGTCCCGCTTCTGCCAGACAGGTCTACCCTTGTCTGTTTTATTTATGTAACTTTTTTCCATCTTGGACCAGGTCCCTGGGTGGTGCAAGCACTTTGAGCTCAACCACTAACCTAAGAGTTGGCCGTTCGAACCCACCCAGCGGCACCGTGGAAGAAAGGCCTGGTGACCTGCTTCCGTAATGATGGTTTTTAGGTGTCGTCAAGTAGCTTCCGACTTACGTATAAAGATCACAGCCAAGAAAACCCTATGGAGCAGAGCAGTTCTACTCTGGCACACATGGGGTCACCATGAGTCAAGAGTTGCTTCACCTGCAGTGGGTTTTTCTTTCTTTCTTTTTCGATCTTGAGCTTTTTTGCAATGAAATACATTAATGCATGCCCATGGTATTCTGCTATCCATTCTCTCACTCATTAATTTTTCCATCATCCATTCAGTATTATTGTCCACAAGAGTGCCCCATGGAAATATAACACCAGTTGTGTATATAATTTTTCTGCAAAAATCTCAGACGACGACATAGCTGATGGTTCTCCATTTTCACCCCCCTTTTAAAATTATGGTAAAAACATACATAACCTGCCAGCTGCCGTTCAGCCGATTCCGACTCACGCCAGCCCCTTGTGTGTCAGAGCAGAACTGCGCTCCGTAGGGTTTTCGATGGCTGATTTTTCTCGGAGGTGCTTCTGCGTGGACTGGAACCACCAACCTTTCAGTTAGCAGCTGAGCGCATTCACCATTACACCACCCGGGGAGTCCGAACATAACATCAAATTGACCACTTTAACTGTTTTTGAGTGTAAAATTCAGTGGCGTTAAGTGCATCCAGAGTGCCGTGTTGCCGTCACTACTGTCTATTTCTGATCTTCTTTGTTATCCAGAACAGAAACTGCGCATTAAACAAGAGCTCCCCACTAGACCCTCCTCCCGGCCCCTGATTAGCCCCATTCTCCTTTCTGCTTCTACAAATTTGCCTGTTCTGTGGTGGCTGTCGTGTGCGCCACCAAGTCAATGCCAGCTCATCACTATCCCAAGTGACAGAGTAGAACTGCCCCGTGGAGCTTCCTAGGCTGTAATCTTTACGGAAGCGGATTGCCAGCTCTTTCTCTTACAGAGCCGCTGGGTGGGTTCCAACCGCTGACCTTTCGGTTAGCAGCCAAGCGCTTAACCACTGAGCCACCAGGGCTCCTTTCGCTTATTCTAGATACCTCTATAAATGGAACTGTACACTATTGGCCCTTTCGCGTCTGACGCATTTCGCTCAGCGTAGTCTTCGAGGTCACCCACGGCATGGAGTGTATGAGGGCTTCATTTCTCTGTATGGCTGAGTAGTATTCCATCGTGTGGATTTGCCACATTGCGTTTATCTATCACCTGTGGATGGACGCTTGGGCTGTGTCCGCCTTTTGGCGACTGTGAACAGCGCTGCAGTGAGCACGTGCGCTCAAGTGTCTGTTTGATCCGCTTTCTTTTCAAACGGCCGTGTGGCTTCCCGTTCTACAGTTGTACCCCACTTAAGTTCCCAGTCGCCCCCCTCACGCTCAGCGCAGCTTGGGATCCTCCTGTGTGTATCTTTGCGTATGTGTCCAGGCTCCCGTCTGTCGAGAACTTGGCAGCCAGTCTGCCCTCGGAAAGTCCCATTTCCCAGATGGGAAGCTTGAGGTCCAGGCATCCCTCCTGGCTGGATTTATTACCTGTCTGATCAGTCAGGCTTCGAGATGAGATTTCCACTGAAGAAAGGGGTCCACAACCGCAGTGCCTGAAATCATCGCTGCTGGGGCAGCCCCCTTGTACAGACTCGGAGGTGGAGGCCGAGACGGGGGAAACAGCTACTTGAGGCCCCCACAGGGGGCTGACCTCAGGGGTGGGTCTCAGTGCCAGCCCACCCAGTCTTTGCCCTGCCTGGGGGCCCGTGGCCCCACCCTCAGCAGCTGTGCCATCAGTGTGCTGGATTGCATTTAGGTGGGTTGGCTACAAGTGCCGTCTCAGCCCCTGCCTTTCCTTGGGCCTCAGTTTTCCTCATCTGTCCAATGGGATTAACCATCATTCACCCACAAGCTTGCTATGAGGTTTTGATGAGCCAGTGTCTGTCCAGAGCTTCGCATCGAGAGTGCCCTCGGAAGGTTCCATTTCCCAGATGGGAAGCTTGAGGCACAGACCCTAATAACAGCGCCCAGCTCCAGAGCCTTCTGCAACTCCCCATTTGCCCGTGGAGCACCGGCCAGTCAGAAGAGGCCCTGAGGGGACCCCAATCTCGTCTGGGCCAGGACGCAGTCTGGAGGCCCAGGGCCCTGACCCTTCTCTTCTGGCCTGTCCCTCTGCAGAGCGCATCCACCTCGCCCCCTGAGAGTCTGGGGGAGGAGCGACCGAGTGGCCCGGGTGGCAATGGGAAGCAGAGAGTGGAAGACAAGGATCTATCAGGCCCTTACGTGAGTCGGGACAAGCGGAGGTCTGGGGTTGGCACACGTGGCCTAGATCAGCTCCCAGCCCGGTCCCTCGGAGCCTCCCAGCCCAAGCTGTGTCCATGACTCCCTCCTTCCAGAGCCTTCTATAGCTCCCCATTGTTGGGGCACCAGTCAATCACAAGAGACCCTGTGGTGGCAGGCTTAACCCTTTTGTTGCTCGAAGTCTCTGGGGTCATAGATCCATTTGCCTGTCTCCTGGCCTTGGTTCCATTTGCCTCCCCCTCCCACACCCCGAACCCCTTGAAGAAGCCCTGGTGACACAGTGTTTAAGCGCTCAGCTGCTAACCTACAAGCCAGTAGTTCGAATGTCCTAGCCGCGCCGCGGGAGAAAGATGTGGCCGTCTGCTTCCAGAAAGATTACAGCCTTGGAAACCCTGTGTGGTAGTTCTACTCTATCCTACAGGGTCGCTGTGAGTCAGAATCGACTTGACGAAAAGGGTTTAGAGCCCGCTCCCCCTGCCTCTCAGAAACCTGTTTCTCTACCAAGGCACAAAATGCCCTCTCCTCCAGGAAGCCTTCCCTGATCCCCTCCCAGAGGGCTGGGACCTCTCTCTTTGTGAGTGATTGCCACACACCAGTATTCTCAAACTCTAGGGCACCCAGCTGGGGGTGGGGGCAGGACTGTGGCCGGCTGGGGACGACTTGTCCCATCTGCAAGGGCAGCTGTGACTGGCCCCAGCTGACTTCAGCGGTGCAGGAACACGGGCCTGGTGCTGGCCAATCCAGCCGTCTCTCAGAGAAGCCTTAAATCTGGGTTCTTATGTGACTGCTTGCTTTTTCAAAGGTGGCAGCTAGTTCTGATTTAGAGAAGAAAATTGGGGACGGGGGTCAAAAAAACCCACCTGCTAGGTGGATTCGGCCTCCAGGCCACAGGTTGCAAACTCTGCCCTTCCTGTGATCTCCAGCCAAACCAAAAGTTCCCTGAGGGCAGCCCAACAAGCCCAGGAGTGTGTTTTCCATGTCAGGGAATGGAGTTGGAGCTTGGTCTTTCTCCTGAGGGAACTAGGGAGCTATAGAAGGATACAGAGCAGCAGTGAAATGCTGCTGAGGCCTGAGGAAATGCTCTCTGAGGCCAGCTTGGGGTGCTCCCTGGAAAGAGGCAAGGCTGCAGGCCAGGACCCCAAGGAGGAAGTGGAAGGAGGTGGGATCTGTGCTAGGGCCGTGGGAATGGTAGAACAGATGGTGGGAGACTGGCTTTGGGGGTGAGAGCAATGGAGGAGGTAACAACAACTCCAGGTCTCTGGCTCTGCCAGGCGGGGATCATCACCCCCCACCCCTGCATAGAGGAGTAAACTGAGGCCCAGAGAGGGCAAGGAGTCGTCCAGGGCCACACGGCACGTCTTGGGCACTTAGCTTCCTCTCCGTGGCCCCCCTCCACGAGAGACCCAGCCACTCCCTCTAGAAGGAAAGGGGCTGCTTCTGTCTGAGGGTCCTGACCCACCCCCTGGGCCAGTGCTGTGTGCACACCCCTCCCCAGGAGATGTCTGGGGGCATGGAGGCAGGGGCATGGCCGGGATGAGGTCTCTTCTCTCTGCAGGAAAGCGACGAAGACAAGAGTGATTACAACCTGGTGGTGGATGAGGTGAGTTGGGGTCCAGCCTCCCCCGCCCCCGACCTCCGGGATTTTGAGGAGGGGAGCCAAGAGGTCTGGGCAGAGAGCAAGTGGGGGGGGGGCGCTGGAGGGAGAAAGTGAGGGGCACCGGGATAAGGAGAGTGGGAAATACCAGCCTGCTCTCCGTTGTAACACAGGTGGGGAAACTGAGGCCCAGAGAATGCGGAACAGGCAGCCTAAGTGGCTTCAAATCCAGGCTGGCCCTGTCACATTGGGGGAGCAGTGCCCCCTTCCCTGGCCTAGCTTTGCCCGTCTGCTCAATGCAAAACCACACCAAGCACTTGCGTGTAGGCATTGCTGTGTGTCCACGACTCTTCTAAGGTCTAGTGCTCATGGAAGGTCCTGCCATTAAACCCGGGAGCCCTGGTGGCACAGCGGTTAAGCGCTTGGCTGCTAACTGCAAGGTCAGTGGTTCTAACCCACCCAGCGGCTCCACGGGAGAAAGACCTGGCACTCTGCTCCTGTAAAGATTAAAACTAAACCAAACCCCTCGCCACTGAGTCGATTCCGACTCACAGCGACTCTACAGAACAGAGTAGAACTGTCCCATAGGGTTTCCGAGGCTGTAACCTTTACAAGGGCAGGCTGCCACAGCTTTCTCCCACGGAGTGTCTGGTGGGTTCAAACCACCAACCTTCTGATTAGCAGCTGAGCACTTAACCACTGTGCCACCAGGGCTCCTCCTGTAAAGATTACAGCCTAGAAAACCCTATGGGGCAATTCTATTCTGTCACATGGGGTCTCTCGAGTCAAAATAGATTTGATGGTGCCTCAGAACTACGACATTAAACCCGTTTTATGAATGAACAAATCGAGGTACGGGGGGTTTCATAAGCCTCCCAAGGTCACACAGCTAGAGATTAGGGGAGCCATGGAGCTCCAGTGCCCGCCCCGGGCCCCTCTAGATTTCTGCTCATCTGTGATGGTCCCTCTTGGTGACTGGGTCATAGGTGCTGGGTCTGGAGGTCGGGGTGAGCGTGGAGAGGTGTACAGAGAGGGCTCTCCTTCCCCTCCCACCTCACCCCCACTCAATGTCTCCTCCTTGAACGCAGGACCAACCCTCAGAGCCCCCCAGCCCGGCGACCACTCCGTGTGGAAAGGCGCCCATCTGCGTCAGCGCCCGTCGAGAGCTTGTGGATAGTCCAGCCTCCTTGGCTTCCAGCCTAGGCTCACCGCTCCCCAGAGCCAAGGAGCTCGTTCTGGTAAGGTGGGGGGGACTTGAAACTCATTTTATTAATCCTGGAAGCCTGGAAACAGATTAAATACCAGGCAATGAGCAATTAGCTAGGCTAGTGTGTTGTCTGGAGTCCCGGGGTGGTACAAACGGTTCATACACTCAGCTGCTAACTGAAAGGTTGGAAGTTCAAGTCTACCCAGAGATCCCTCAGAAGAAAGGCCTGGTGCTACTTCCAGAAAACCAGCCATTGAAAACCCCATGGAGCGCCGTTCTGCTCTGGCATACATGGGTTTGCTATTAGTAGGAATTGACTCAAAGGCAACTGGACTGTTTTTTTGGTTTTTTAACTATCTACCAAGCAACCGTCCTGGAAGAAGTACAGCCAGAATGCTCCTTAGAAGTGAGGATGGCGAGGCTTTGTCTCACGTACTTTGGACATGTTATCAGGAGGGACCAGTCCCTGGAGAAGGACGTCATGCTTGGTAAAGTAGAGGGTCAGTGAAAAAGAGGAAGACCCTCAACGAGATGGATTGACAACAACGTCCGCAACGGTGGGCTCAAACATAGCAGTGATCGTGAGGATGGCGCAGGACCGGGCAGTGTTTCGTTCTGTTGTGGATAGGGTCGCTATGAGTCGGAACTGACTTGACGGCACCTAATAATGTAATAATATTTACTGAGAAAGTCTTAGGTGGTGCAAATGGTTTTCGCTCAGCTGCTAGTCTAATTGTTGGCAGTTTGAACCCACCCAGTGGTGCCACAGAAGAAAGGCCTGGCAGTCTGCTTCTGTAAAGATTACGACCAAGAAAAAACCCTCTGGAGCACAGTTCTACTCTGTAACACAGGAGGTTGCCATGAGTCACAGTCGATGGTGTCGGGTTAGCCTGTTGTCCTACCTGTTCCGTGATGATTTGGGACCATCTTCCTAACTCCCCCTTGAGGTTGTCGAGGTAAATGTTCCTCTCTCCATCCCACTCACTCTGCCAAACCTAAATCAATAGTAAAAGGCAACGTGGGATCACCACCTCAAATGGCAGACGAGGATTTTCGTGCAATAAATAGAAAATCCTGGTGGAAGTAACTATGGTGAAAGCAGAATGGTAGAGTTGGCACCTGGCTAGGCTGACCTCCAGGCCTGCAAAGCCTTAAGAGCTGCCAGAGGCTGGAGACACACGGGCCTCAGCCTGGGATCCTGTCCCAGAAAAGGAAGATAATTAATAAAGCACCAGCTTTCTCACTGTGATGTCTAACGCCGGGACCTCCCAAAGGCACCCCCCACCCCGGGGCATTTACAGTTCAGCCCCATTTGTCCGCCGCCTCCCAGATCTTCCCGAGGCCCCCGCCCTGCACTTACCCAGAGAGGTTGTGTCAGTTTCTAGGCCCCCCTCCCAGCGGGTTGCTATGGCAACTGTCAAGGTTGGGGCTTGAATTCCATCTGAAGTGCCCTCCTCCCACTCCCGTGATCCTTAGAGACCCGCAAGGGGGCGGGGCCGCTCCCTGTTAATGGAGAAGCCCCCCAGAGGCTCCCCCATCCGCTCATCTTGTGGGGGTGCGGCTGTCACAATATGTGCGACTGTGCCGTGAGAAGACACGCCGACCCCAGCAAGGCAAGTGAAGTTTCTTTAAAGACGAAGGAAACGCGGACATAGAACCCGAGAGCACAGTCCTTCTCCACGACAGACGTGTGGCTCCCAGGGTCCTCAAGTGTCCCCAAGGGGAGGTGTGGCTGGGGGTGGTGTCCCCTCCCCCTGAGGAGCAAGGAGGAGCTCCCCTGGAACTCAGTGCTGTTCCCGCACCCGGAGTTACACTGCGAGGTCTCCTGCTTCGTGAACCTATCCCTCCATTTCTGAGCCTCTGAGAGAATCGTGGCAGGCGCTCCCTTTGCCTGTTGCCTTCGTTCACTGTCTCCGGGTGACCCCTGCCCTCTGCAGGGTGTGCCTTTGCTGTGGACCCACCTCGCGTCACCCCTCTACATCCACACTCCAAAGTGTGTATTCGTGCTACGTACCGGAGTGTATGCACCTGCAGTTCTCATAGTGGGTGCATGGATCCACGCTCCATACCTCACCGTATGCACGCGGGTTCTCACGGGAGGGGCGTGGGGGCACGCTGACGTACATGTGTGGATCCACGCTCCATACCTCACCGTATGCACGCGGGTTCTCACGGGAGGGG